CCCAATCTCAGGGAAAAAAATGTTTCTACTCAAGTGTAGTTCTGTGAATGTGTGTGTGCTATATTCAAGTTCCAGCTTGAACATTTACTTCGCCAACTCCATCAAGATTTGTTTAGGGCCAAACAACATTGATGGACATCTAGTACCAACCACTAGATTGAACAGGCTCTTGCACATTGATCGGTTTTTATCCCAACATAATCAGATGTAGTTTTGCTCAGGAGGAGGACATTGGTGTGTTTGGACTTAAAGATTTGTCTGTGCTGAGCTCAAGATGAGTGTCTGCAGCATCCCTAGCCCAGCAGACCTTTTGTGACCCCTCAGCTGCCTTGGGATCTTTTCTCTAGAGAATCCAAGTCAACCCTCTTCTTCCACTTCCTTTCAAACTCTCCATCTGTACTCCTCAGGCCTAGTAGAAGAAAAACTCACAATTCAAATAGCAGAAAATCTGCCCATTGAAGTGCAACAGAGATGAGTATAAAGTGATTCTCAAATAAAGTATTTTTTATAAAGACACTCAGAATATAGTCATTCATAACAGTTTACAGTTGATATTAAGTGGAAATATTATTTGATATGTGAAAATAATTTTGAAGATCTATGGAGGCCATTTATTGAATATTTTCTAACATGGGAAGAGGTGTGTGAGCCATCACAAGAGCCTGTGCTGTTCTGGAAGGGGAGTGGGAGTGGAGCAACTTGTATGATTAAGTGACTTTACATTAAGAAAGATTTATCTCTTGGTCCTGGTGTTGGTAGCACTGTTATTTCTGTATTGTTTAAATATGCTTATCATTTCTATATCACTTGCCTTTGTATTGCTCTATATTTGTGTAATTAATGGAAAATAAAAATCAATTAAATGGAAAAAAGGCTATCGGGGAGGTTAGGGTTAGGTTTACACTTAGCGTGCTACAGACTATGGTAGGAAAGATAGACTCCGTAATCACTTTGCAGATAGAAGCACAGAGGTACAAGGAGTCCCTGAAGGGCAATGCAGACTGACTCTGACTAAAGGGCAGTTTTAAAGACAAGACAACCCACCCCCACAGAAACTTTTGGAATGTTGTCCACTGAAATTTGCTGTATGTCTCCCAATTGCAGAAAATCTTCTGAAACCTCTGGCGAGTTCTTTGTGGGGGAAATGTCCAACAGTATTTATTGGGTCCTACAACCATCCATGGGTAACCTTCTCTCCCTCACAGCCTTCAGATGTGAATCACGGACAGGCTACTCTTGACTATAAAAAGAAGTACAATAATCAAAGGAGTAGTGGTTTCAGTTTTGCCAGGCTATAGGTAGGTAAGAAAACAAGTGCAGATTCATTGCAGGAACCATTCTAGTGAAACATGAAGCTTTGCCCAGTGACCAGATGAGCAAACATGAAAACCCAGAGGAGGACATGAGAGCAGTGACTGCACTCCCACAATTCTGGATTAGCGTCACTATGATATAGGTGGTTTTATCTGGCTCCTTTCAAGAGATAAACAACTTTGTTAATATTTTTGACAGCTGCTCAACACGGACGATGCTTTCATTGACACCCCACCATGTTTTCACCAGTATATTCTTGATATCTCTCCACAAGCACAAGCATCATCCCTGTACTAGTGAAGTTGCTGCAAACCCATTACCAGTTCAGAAGAGGACCTCTTCTTGGTGAGGAGTTTGTCAAGGGCTTGTCAGACCCCACATAAACAATGTCTGCAGTATCATGCCCGTTCACATGCTGACTGAAACTTGAATACATCCATTTAAATGGCATAAAGAGGAATTACTTTTGTAGAAGTGGTGCTGATTCTTTTTCAGTGAGACCTAACATTCTATATCCTTGAAAAAATAATGGTTCATAATGGTTCAATACTGAACCAACTGTTTTGTAGTTTCCTAGAAAGCCCCTGGCTCTCTTGCTGATCCATTCAGACCAATAAGCTCATTTAAATTCTTAGAACAAATGCAAATCAGTTTTGAAGGTTTATTGAGGCCTACAAGTGTATACATTGGCAGGCGCATGTTGGAAAGTTGAGAATAGAGTCAGCTCTTCTGCCAGTCAGTTATGTATGCTGCTGCCTTCAGCATCTAATCAAGGATGATATGGGGATAAGCAACCCTTTTGGGTCCATGAGCTCATCTAACCAGAAAACAGGTAGATAACATTGTTTTGGTCCTGAATTCTGAAGGAAGAATTAGGTAGGCAAATCTCATAAATCTGTGCACAAGTAAAGCCAGCTGTGCAAGCCCATGAAAAAGGAATCTAAAATCCTCAGGAAGTGCTAGGTCACATACACATGCACACATAGCCTGATGGTCAATTCTGGACAATTCAACAGCTTATACAATCATTTCAAGAATTTTGCTGGACCTAATATATGGACTATTTACAGTTAACACTGGGATCACAAAAAAGAAGGAGAGGGGAATGAAACTACCCTCCCATACATAGCTGTTAATGTGCTTCCAGAAATTGAGTGTGAGTGGAAAGATTCCATTGGCAGGGGGTGGAGGGAAAATATCTCAAGGAAAAGAGCTCCAGAAGTAGGGTCACCTTCATTGCCCATACACTCTGATTCCAGTCAACATTGGCTCCACAGTACACTGACTCCACAGTACAAGCAAAAACACCCATGGGATTCATAATGAATGCTGTGGTTTCCCTCACAGTTCTGCACCCTTTCTTATTACTACTTACCAAGTCATTCATAGAACTATAAGAAATGTTGTGCTCCTGAATTATTGTGGATAACAACGCCTGTTTTCAATTTGAACATTCCTGATGTCCAATTGCTATGTTCTCTTTAATTGTCTAAAACGCAGTTCTGTCACTACTCAACACCCTGTAGATTTTGAAAGAACAAACCAACTCTACTTGGCTATGAAGGACTGTTACAATACATTCTGTGATCTTTGGTCAAATGGATAAATATGGACAGCCACTGCACTGAAGGAGCCTACATTTGCAATCTCAGTGCTCAATATGGGAACAAGTGAATTTGCATGAAGAGAAAAGTTTTTCCTTCCACTCATCATGGGAGAATTAGCAATGGTGTTGCTTAACTTGCTTCTCCAAATAGGAAGCAAGGCTATTGCTGAAAAATGCAAGATCTATGAACCGCAACCTCCACTGCATAAGTATCCACAGCTGGGGGATCTTATGATTGGAGCCATTGCTTCTCTATCCTTCATTGTTCCTGACCGCTTAACCTTCACTGGACAACCCCCACAAGCCTTGCTTGATGAACTTGGGTAAGGGGTGATATTTTTTGTTTATTTATCTGCTCATCACTTGAATTTGACATAGCAGATGCCACCTTTAAACAATTTTATAGTCCGTAGAGATAATTCATATTATTGAAGGGGTGTGGAAACTTTGTTTTCTATATAGCCAAAAGGATGCATTTTGGTGTGAATTTAAGCTAATTCACGATTATTTCCTTCTTCTTGGAACCTTTCTGTAGTCCTCTCATTGACAGTTGTTTTCCCTTCAATTTCTGCCCTATAAAAATTTCTTAAGATTTTCTTCACTTCTGTTTATGTCTCCCTTGCTACATTTTTTTCATTCATCTCTCTTAATTCATCTGTCCTCTTTCATTGAAACTTCATAATCCCACTATTACCGGATTGGATCAACTCTTCTGGAGAAGCAGACTTCTCCTATTCTTCATTTCCACAGCAGCCCCACCAGCCCCCCTCCTCAAAGTCTTGCTCTGTGGCTGGATGGACAGAGAGGGAACCACAAAATCAGAAAAAGAGATTCTGGCATGAATGGAAGTTCCTTTCTTGTAGGGAAGGCAGATACATGATGCAGCCTAGGATAAATTACTGTTAGGAATAATTGTACTGCATGTCTTCTTCTCACTAAGAAGGAGTTATTTTCAGTGTGCTGTACCCTGAGGTGAAGTCAAGATGATGATCATGATGATGACAAAAGCAGTGTGATTTTCCTACAAGTACTGTAGGAGGGGCATTCACATAGAGGATGTGACTTTGTTGCTTCTAGTGTGGTGCCAAAGAATTATCAGCATATCCTGGCCTTGACATTTGCAGTGCAGGAGATCAATGAAAACCCTCGCATCTTACCCAACCTCACCTTGGGGTTTTGCATATATGACAGCTATTTCACAGCCAAGTGGACCTATCAGGCAACCATGCTACTGATATGCACAGCAGGGAGATTAATCCCAAACTACAAATGCAGTACCCAAAAACACTTGATAGCAGTCATCGGGGGACTGGACACCCAAACTTCTCTTCATGTAGCTACTCTCTTGGATATCTACAAGATCCCACAGGTAGAGAGTATGTCTTTTGCTGTAAGCCTTCCTGAGATGATTATCGTAAAGGACAACATATAAATGCTATAAATAAATAAATAGTTGTATATGGAGGATAGGAGGCTAACATCTTTTTCTCATTCACTTTGTTCTTTAATTGGTGCATTTATGCTTTGGAGTTGGAGCTTTGCGCATTGGAAGCAATTGTATTGTTTGTGTCCTTAGGATGCAGGAAAACATTGATTGTAAGGCAAACTACCAACTACTAAACTGTGGAGGAAGGGTAATTTCTCCTGTGACTCTGTCCATTTATGTGCTGCTGGATCTAAGACCGGAGGATCTAGTCAAAATCTCAGACCACAGTCTCATAAACCTCCATTTCCATTTTGAAATGCCACAGACAGTCTTCCTTTTCCTTGCTCTTGACTGTAACTGTCCCATGAGAAGGTACAAAGGACAGACCTCTCCATTTTTATTGAGAGGACTGTGCAGGATAAATGTTCCCATGTTTTGAAAACAGCAAAGCTGCTACATAAATGTCCTTATTACATGTTTTTTCTCCCTCTTCTTCTTGAATTTTCTTAGCTGATATATGGGTCTGCACCAGTGATGAATGATAAAACCCCAGGCCTTTCCTTCTACAATATGACTCCCAGGGAGTCCCTTCAGTATGCAGGCATTCTCTCTTTGCTGCTGCATTTTGGGTGGACATGGATTGGGACAGTCGTTATGGATAACGACAATGGGGAGCAATTCCTCCAAATGGTGGTCCCAGTGTTTTCCAAGAGTGGTGTCTGTTTTGCCTTCATTGAAAAAATCCCTGAACCTGCTCTTGGATCTGATATTGAAGACATGGTGAAGAAGGGTGCAGGAATACATGATAAAATTGTGGAAAGCACAGCCAATGTATTGGTGGCCAATGGAGAATCCTATTCCATGGCATTTTATAGGTTCTTACCATATCTATCAGAACGAGAACATGTGGCAAATGCACCAATTGGTAAAGTAATGATTGTGACAGCTCAGGTGGAGCTCACTTCATTTGTCGTTCAAAGGAATTGGAACACAGACTTTTTGCATGGTGTTCTTTCATTCACAATACAGTCCAACAATGTCCCAGGATTTCAAGAATTCCTTAATACAAAAAACCCTTCCAGCCCAAAAGGAGATGGATTTATTAAGCCCTTCTGGCAACAGGCTTTCAGCTGTGTATTCCCAGATCCATTACTAGGCAAAGTAGGTGGCAGTATGTGCACTGGGAATGAAAAGTTGGAATGCCTTCCTGCAATTTTTTTTGAAATGACTTTGATGGGTCACAGCTACAATGCCTACAATGCTGTCCATGTGGTGGCTCATGCCTTGCATGCCATCTCTTTATCTGGTATGAGGAACAGAGGAATGGTGACCAGAGGTGGACAGACATTTCCAAGTCAAGTACACTGGCAGGTAAAGACTGAATAGCCTCATGTGGGAGAGATGCACAGCTTTACACAAATTAATACAAATCAGGGAACCACTTTCAGTGCATATTTGAATGGGATTATTGACTATGTCTCTGCTTATTCAAACAGCAAGGTTCTAGTGAATATATGTGTGTGCAAGAACATTTAAAATTGGCTCCTTCACATGAACTGCATTTGTAGAATGGGTGGAAAATTTACTCATACCACAGAAGCAATTTAATCTAACCTTTGAATTAGAGCAGTATCTGACCTTAAACTCAGTATTTATAGTACTGTATAATGGGATAGAGGAAAAATATAAGAACAATTTCTGTCATCTAGCGCAAGTATTTCGCTCCCTCTGTCTGCATGCTTCCTTTCACAGTTTTTCTAAGTGCCTTCCTTTTCATTCCAGCTCCATCATTTTCTGAAGTCCGTTTCATTTAACAACAGTGCTGGGGACATGGTGTCTTTTAATGAGAATGGAGAGTTAGTCACTGGATTTGATGTGATCAATTGGATTTTCTCCTCAAACAAGTCCTTTCAAAGAGTGAAGGTTGGGAGGATGGATGCCCAGGCTGCTCCAGGCCAAGCATTCATCATCAGTCCAGAAGCAATAGCATGGAACAGCTGGTTTAATCAGGTCTGGTTCTTGAAGGATTAGCTGAATCTACCTACTTGAATAAGACTCAGTTTCAGTAGTGACATTTATACTTTATCTTATTTGACAGTAATGTAACTAGAAAACTCCTTATTTGAAACTGGATAGCATAATATGTGCTGCACTGAATGAGACCAGAAAAGCTTCCACCTTGGTTTCAGTGCTGCTGAATTAACCAGTAGAAACAGTTGAAGATATATATAGATGTAGATGTGTAGATATCCTATTAATTCCCTATTTTTCAATAGACTTAAATCATCAGCATTTTTGCAACTTATCTCTGCTTCACTATGAAACTAGGTAATATCATGCAACTAATTCTGATAAGCAAATTATTAAAAACTGGATTAGATGGAAAAAGTATTAGGTGGATCCAAAATTGTCTGTTAAATCAGACACAGAGAGTGGTCATCAATAGCAACTTCTCAAATTGGATTGAGGTTACTAGTAGGGTGCCATGGGGTTCAGTCCTGGGTCCAGTGCTCTTCAACATCTTTATTAATGATTTAAATGAAGACGTCCAAGGAAAGATAATCAAATTTGCTAATGATACAAACCTGGATGGAATAACAAACACCCTAGAAGACAGAATGAAGATCCAGAGCGAACTTGATAAACTTGAACAGTGGGCCCCAAACCACTTGTTAAATCCCATAGAATGAGATTTAACAAGGACAAGTGCCATGTTCTCCACCTAGGAAAAAGGAACCAAATGCAAGTTGGGGAATAGGTGTCTCAACAGAACTGAAAAAGAAAAAGATCTCAGAGGAATTGTGGACAATAGGCTAAACATGAGCCAACAATGTGATGCAGCTGTCAAAAGGGCAAATGCTGTTTTGGGATACATTAACAGAAGTATTATTTCCAAATCATGAAAAGTAGTAGTTCCTCTATACTTTGCACTAGTCAGACCTCACCTAGAATACTGTGTCAAGTGTTGGACACAAAGATTTAAGAAAGCCACAGGTAAATTAGAAAGGATCCAGAGGAGGGAAACAAAAATGATCCAGGGTTTGGAAACACTGCCCTATGAGAGAGAACTGGGCATGATCAGACTTGAGATAAGAAGACATGAGATCGCTCTATAAGTACCTCAAAGGCTGTCATAAAGGGGAAGGTCAAGATGTCTTCTTACTGATGCCAGAGTGTAGGACACAGAATAATCAGTTTAAATTGCAACAACCCAGATTCAGGCTGGACATCAGGAAAAGCTTGCTCACTCTCAGAGCAATAGGACAATGGAACTAGCTGCCTTGAGAGGTGGTGGACTCTCCCACACTAGAGACATTCAAAAAGAAACTGGGCAGCCATCTGAGTGGGATGGTGTAACTTGGTGTCCTGCAACAGTAGGGGATTGAACTTGATGGCCTTCATGACCCCTTAGAACTCCACTATTCTATGATTCTGACTATAATGTGTTCAGATCCAGGCATAGTCAAACTTAGGATAGCACATTGAAGGAAAAACAACTTAAATTAGTTATTATTCACATCTCATTGATTTCAATGGCACTAATCAAAGAATGACTGAGGTATGGCCTTTGGAAGGTATGGCCTCAGTCATACCTCAAAGAATGACTGAGGTATGGCCTTTGGAAAATTCTATGAATTTGGCCACCAAATTTTTCCTGCCACAGTAGCAATCGAACTGGGGTGCTGTTAAATAGATGGGGATGCCTATAGAATGTCCCTTTGGCAGTCCCTTTTGGATGGCTGCATCTCACCTCCCATAGAAATGTTTGGAATGGAGGGAGGGAGGATACAGAGCAGTTTCAGTTCAGGCAAACCATGTGAACTTCTTCATTTAAACAATAGAAAGGGAGTGTTTGTTTTGATAAATGCTTCCAAATTCCTGGATTTATAAGTGCACATTAAAAAATAACATTTTTAAAGCTCATGAGATAATGCACATTTTTTAAAAAGGTGAATACACATTTTTAAATGCATGAAATGCATCGCTTACCTGTTCAAAAGCATGTTAAAAATGGGATCACACTGAAAAGAAAGTTGGGTAGAAACAGTGGTGTTTTCCCAACCCCAGAAGAACCTAGCTTGATGTCACCACTTGTATGGGAGGATGAACTCCCATTTTTGCCCCGTTGTTTTATTCCATTTACAAGCTGGCTGGAACCATGCATGCAGTTTTCATCCATGATATGGTCCTTGGACTTCAACCTTACAAAAGTCTTGGAGAGCACATTTATGGAAAAGGAGCTTTGGGAGAGCTTGGCAATTTAAAAGGAGATTGCAGAACTGAAAGGATCCCAATAATTCTTACGGTTCTTATTCTATTCATCCCCTGATGACTTAGGCACAGCCTGTATCTGTGTGCAGTGAGAGCTGCAATCCTGGTTCTGTAAAGAAGGTTAAGGAAGGGGAGCCATTTTGCTGCTATGATTGCGTGCCATGTCCCAAAGGGAAGATTTCGAGCAAGAAGGGTAGGCATTACAGTGTGCATCTATTTCAAATAGATTTGATAAGATGAAGAACAGGTGTGGAAAAGATCTTCTGGAATTGACTTGTGAATGAATGGGAAGATGCTGATTGGGGGTGGGGAGGTGTTGGTATGTGAGAGCACATATGTGATTGTTTGCCCATGTTGTTCCAAATGATCCAACTGCAGTAGATTCTAGATATTCAGGGTGGGTGGCCAATCCTTGACTATTGAAACTTACACCTGCAGTGCTCACTCATGAAAACTACACAGATACTTCCATTGATGCTAAAGGAACATAACTCATGAGTAATGAATAACAACTAACCAAGAGACTCTGATCACAGTCAACACATATCTGCAATCACTGCCCTATTATCCTATGCCTCCATTTTCAGAGCAAGATCTCTCTTCAGTTCTTTAACTTTTTACATTCCTTAAATGAAGTCCAGCCTGTTTCTGTCTAGGTTTATTCAGAAAAAAATTCCATGCAGTTCAATATGCTTGCTTAAAGTCAAGAATATGTATGATAGCTTTTATAGATCCCCAAGACAGTGTTCATTGCACAGAACACGCTCTGTCTGCTTTCATCTGCATATTCAGTCAGGTTGTCTCAGGCTTATGGCTGGAATGCAATGGATGCTTCAGACATGTATACAAACCTGCTTAACATTTGTACTCTTTCCTGCCTCCTTAGGCACTTCTAAGAATTACTGTGAATACACATGGTTGAGAATTTTCTTTCAGTTCATTTTGTTTTGGTTTATTCTGAAAACTGTTTCCCAGTTTTTGGAGGCATTGAGTTTGATCCTTTTCACAGGAGGAGCACTCTCCGTGTCCCCAATGCTGAAAGAGGAGCTTCTCGAAAGGGACCCTGGGGTGGAGCTAAAAGGCACCTGGCTCCCACAGGCACTGCTGGGTGATCTTGATAGCAGATAGTGGGAACAAGCTAATGAAGAAGTATGCTGCAATGAGTTTCATATCCCATTATATCCCCAGTGACCCAGCAGGTGACCTGAAGTGGAGAAACCACTTGAAGTTGAACTGCTCAATAAATGCATTCTGGCCCTGGGTCAGGGAAGCTGTAGCCAATCAAAGTGATGCTGTGGTTTAAGCAAATGCCATGTTGATACTGCAGAAGCAGTCCAAAACAGATCGAACTATCCATCTGTCCAGGCAGATGGCATTGAGTGATTAGCTTGTAAAATTTTAGGTTTGAAATTACTGCACATTCAGCCAAGTAAAACCCTGTTCCATGACAGGCTTTTCATCTTCAACAGCTTTCTGTCAGGCCAGCAAAACATGGTCTTCATTCTGGAAACACCTACTGAATTTGTCACACACAAATGGGTAGGAATTGCTTTTGAATTAATCTGTGATTTGATAAGACAAATTTCTTCATTTTCAAAGTAAAAAAATACATGAGGGTTAAAAAATGCAGATCCAACAAAACTAATTTATTCTCTGCTTAGACTAGAAAATGACTCATCTGGGAAATTGATCTGGCTTCTTGCTAAGACCTATGGAATGCATGAGAACATGTATAAATTCATATTTCCTCAGATATGCATCACTGTTATCCATGTGAAGATGAAAAGTACCCAAGCAAGCACCAGGATTTCTGTATTCCCAAGTCAGTGAACTTCTTGTCTTATGAAGAAACTTTGGGCATCATTTTAACCTCTTCTATTATTCTTTTCTGCTTGATAACGGCTCTGGTGCTAGGAATATTTCAGAAGCATCATGAGATGCCCATTGTCAAAGCCAACAACCGGCACCTCACCTACGCTTTCCTCGTCTCCCTCCTGCTCTGTTTCCTCTGCACACTGCTCTTCATCGGCCAGCCGCACAAGGTGACATGCCTCCTGCGACAAACTGCTTTTGGCATCATCTTCTCAGTGGCCGTGTCTTGTGTGCTCACAAAGACAGTCATGGTGGTTTTGGCCTTCAGAGCCACCAAACCAGGATGCAAGATGAGGAAGTGGATGGGGAAAAGACTGGCCAACACTCTCCTTCTTTCCTGCTGTCTTCTTCAGGCTGGGATCTGTCTTGCCTGGTTGGCAACTTCTCCTCCTTTTCCAGATATTGACATGCATTCCGTGGCTGAAGAAATCATTCTGGAATGTAACGAGGGATCCATGATGATGTTCTACTGTGTCCTGGGCTATCTGGGCTTCCTGGCAATGGTCAGCTTCATGGTGGCTTTCCTAGCCAGGAAGCTGCCAGACAGTTTCAATGAGGCCAAGTTTATCACTTTCAGCATGTTAGTCTTTTGCAGTGTGTGGTTATCCTTTGTGCCTTCCTACCTGAGCAACAAAGGGAAATACCTTGTGACTGTAGAGATCTTTTCTATCTTAGCCTCCAGTTCTGGCCTGCTGGTTTGCATCTTCTTCCCCAAATGTTACATCATTTTGCTGAGACCTGAGTTGAACAAGAAGGAAAATCTAATAAGGAGAACAGATTAAAAAAATGTACCTGTCTGCACATTTGATAGCAATTTGGAATTAATCTGGGTGGCCATTCTTTGTTTAGTTTGTTTGTTTGTTTGGCAGAAGAGATATTTCAGCACACATTTTGTCTTTCATTTCATGATCTCCAACGTTTTTCTTATTTCTTCTATGTTTGTATGAAGCTTCACTTAAATAAGTGTCCTGGGTTCTTTGGAATAACATGAAAGTGGACTGGAAAGAGTCCCTCACATGCAAATCAATCATGGCATAGCAGTTTTATTTCCCAAAGGCACTCCTCCAAGGAATGTTTATTGCTGCTGTAGTTACATGGACGTTAAGGAAAGCTGTTTGCATTAGAAAACAAAACAAAACTTGGGCATAATAGTCCCCTAGACACCTTGGATGCATGGTTCTGGACAGGAAACCCTTGACTTTAAAAAGAAGCATACACAGCTTCACAGGAGTAGTGGCTTCAATTTTGCCAGGCCACAGGTAGCTAAGGAAAGCAGTGCAGATTCATTCCAGGAACCTCTCTAGTGAAGCATCCAGTTTCCCCCTCTGGCCAGCCAAGTACCCATGGAAACCCAGAGCCAGTTAGAGCAGTGACCCCACTCCCACAATCCCATATTAGAGTCACCATGATATTGGCAGTTATATTTTGATCCTTTTCATAGTGATCTCAAACTTAGATGTCTGGCCTGCTGTGCCTTGTGGGAGTACCAGCCATTTCTAGCCTTCTCCTAAAGTCTGCCTTAGCACTTTTCCTCATCCTTCCCATCCCTCCCTCTTTCTCTTTATCACTGTCTCCTCTTCTGCCCACCCCTCCTGTTCATCCCATCCCCACCTTTATTCTCCCTTACCCAATGCAGCACTTCCTGCCCTAGCCTATATTCTCATGCAGCTGTGTTCACCTGCTCATCCCTGCAAATGGAGTCCCACACCCTGTGCCTCCCAAGCATATTCCCAGCCATGCCCCATCATATCCTGCCCCAATCCAGTGGATGCCAAGAGAAGATTAGTGACCCCATCTACCGCCTCACACAGGCATACTGGAAATACTCCTTCACATGCAAATCATTTTTTTTAAATTCCCCCCTTTTTTTTAATACAGAATATATATATATATATATATATATATATATATATATATATATAATGTTGTTGTTGTTGTGTTGTTTGTATTTAACACACAAAAACCCAACTAATGAATAAAAAAGAAAATACAGTGCACCCACCCCCCAGGAAACCAATAATACCTCCCTTTTAATTCACATATTATAACAATTAAGAATCTATAATGTACTTCAATTAAATCATTATCCCCTCCAAAAATTCAAATAATCTTGATTAGGCTTACAACCTTTACCTTCTATCAATACTGCTTTAACAAAATCTTCCCAAATTTCATTATATTAATTTGCTTTTATTAATCCTTTTTTAATTTTTATTTCTGTTGTCAGTTTATCATTAATTACCATATTCCATATATCATTATACCATTCATGCTGTTGCATAACCCAATTCTGTTTCCAATATTTAACTATCACTAACCTAGTTGCCTTTATCAAACTTAGGATCAATTCCTTCTTAACTTCATTTATAGCTTGTTTTTCAGTCAGCAGCAATAATAGAATGATCAGTGAAATTTCTAAATCTATATCTAAAATTTCTTTAATTTCACTAATCACCACAATCCATATCTTTTGTATATTTTCACAGTCCCACCACATGTTTATAAGTTCCAATCCCTTTCCCACATCTCCACCGTATCTTAGAGTATTTATCATCAATTTGATTTATCTTAACTGGTGTTAAGTACCATCTCCATATCACTTTATATCGATGTTCTTTAATTCTAACTGACATATTCTTATATACTCTTCTATTCCAAATATTTTGCCAATCCTTGTCTTTTATTTCACCTACGTTCATTTCCCAAATTGATTTTAAACTTTTTTTCTGATCCCCTAACTCCATTAATATTCTGTAAATTTTAGCACTTCTTCCATTGCTTGTATATTCTTCCTCAATCTTGCATTCTTTCATAATAGTTTCAAATTTTGTTAATTGTCTTTCTTCCTCTTTAAATTTATCCTCCATTTTTATCAATTTTTCTAATAGAATTAAATTTAACAAATTTAATTTGGCCTCTTAATATACTCCTTAATTGTGCTATATTTTTAATCTTATTTTTCCAGTCTTCCTATTTGATTATTTTTTAATTTATTAATCCAATCCTTTGATTCTATTTTTGGAAATTTCTCCATTTTGACCACTGGTGTTAATGGAGAAATTCTTGGGATTTTCTGTTGTCTCCATTTTTCCCATATTTCCATTGTATTTTTTAAAAAAGGATTTTTAATTCTCTTATTGATCTTTTTAATATCCTTTATAAACCAGTATATCTTTAAGTGATTATTTCCCTTAATTCTTTCATTCAATATTGCTCCATATTAATTCTTTGCTTTGGGCTATAATATCTGGAACTATCTTTAATTGGTTTGCAACTCAAGACTTTTTAACATCTGGAATGCCCAGCCCTCCTCTTTTTTGTGATTCATATCGGAGTGCTTTCTTATTCTTTTCTCTTCCCTTCATTAAAATAAACCTCCAATAATTTCTGCATTTCCTTTAATTTTTGATCATAAAACCTGATTGGAATCATCCAAAACAAAACAAAAAATTAATGTTTGGCAGATTTTTCATTTTTGTTACTGCTATTCTTCTAAACCATGATAATTTTACCTTTTCATATTTTCCTATTTTATCTTTTATATCTTTTTTTAACTTTTCATAATTTTTCATCTTTAATTCTTGACTATTTTTTGGAATATCAATTCCTAAGTATCTAATGCTATCTTCAATTTTTAATTTATATTTTTCTTTTAATATATCCAATTCTTCACTATTGTGTTTTTATAACGTAATTATTTCCAATTTTTCCCAATTTACTTGCAACCCACTGTACTTCCCAAATTCCTTTACATGTAAATATATTCTCTCTATAGTATTTATTGGATCTTGAAATGTTAACAATGTATCATCCGCAAATAAATTAATTGTAATTTCATGACATACTCCAATTCCTTCTATCTGCATATCATTCCTAATTGCATTTGCCAATACTTCCATCATTAAAGCAAATAACACTGGGGATAGGAACAACCCTGTCTCGTTCCTTGACTTAGGTTTATTGTTTCTGAAATACCATCATTTACTATTATGTTTGCCATATTTTCTGAATATAATTGATTTATTACTTTCTTAAACTTTATTCCAAATCCCAACTTCTCTATTATGATCTTGATTGTTGGTCATTCCACATAGTCAAAGACTTTAAGTATATCTAATGCTAATATATTTTGCTTCTCAATGTAAGTTAATATTTAATACTCTTCTTACTACATCTGACATTTGTTGACATCTTATCTTATTTGTTGACCACATTGATCATTCTTTATATATTTATCTATAAATTTATTCAGTTTATTTACCAATATCACTGTAAAGATCTTAACATCTTGATTAATGAGAGATATTGGTCTATAAGATCCAGGGTTTGTAAGATCCTTATTAGGTTTTGCTATCAGCACTATCAGAAATTATCTCCAAGAATTTGGAATTGTTTCCTCTTCCATTATTTTATTAAACATTATTTTCATCTTAGGGACTAATTTTTTTAAATTTTTTTAATAATATTCCACACCCAATCCATCAGATCCTGGTGATTTACCTATTTTCAGTTTATTAATCATTTCCAATATCTCTTCTTTTTCTATTTGAGTTTCCATGATTTCTTCATCCACTTCTCGAAGTTTACCCTTTAAATTCTTTTCTGTATATATCTGACTTTCTTTCAAATCTATTTCATTAACCTTATATAAATTTTCAAAAAACCTTTGAAAAGTTTTTCTTTCACCTTGTTACATCTTTCTCCTGTTTCGTTCTTTATAACTCCTTTTTTTTTTTTTTTTTTTTGACTTGTGTTTCTCTGGCCAGCATTTTGAATATTTATTACTATTTTCTTAAAATTATCTTTTCAAGTAAATTAGATTTCTTTGAACTTGTTCTATTTCAATATTTTGTATTTCTTTTCTTTTTGCTGTTAATTCTAGCATATTTCCCCCCTACTTTTAAAATATTTTTCTTGAATTCTTTAATTTCTTCTTCTAATCTTGTTATATAATGCTCTTTTTGTTTTTTTAAACTATATGAATATTTTATTCCTAGTCCTTTTACCACTGCTGTATTACAACCTCTTTTTTCATTTATTTCCCATATTTTTAAAATCCTTTTTCAATTTTTATCTAAAATCTCATTTTTAAAAATCCTTAAATCTATCCTCCATCAATTTGCCTGTCTATATTCATATTTTATTTCCATAGTTTTCATATTTTAAATTTTAAATTACTTTTATATTTATTTTATGAATATTTTAATTACTCTTATATCTGCAGTAACTATATTGGACAATATTTCTGGTGTTACAAATCTATTCTTGTAAAATTTTTATGTCTATTTGAATAAAATGTATAACTTTTTCATTTTGAATCTGATGTGATTCTTCCTGCCATAGTTATATACTTAAATAATTCTGACATATTTTTAAAGGGTTTCTGGAACAATATTCAAAAGCATGTTCTTGGGATTCATAGAAAACTTAATTATAAAGTTTTTCTGCATTTCTGCATGTATCAGTTTCCAAAATCTTTGTGATACTGTGTAATCAACATTTCCAAATCTGTCAAATCTCTTAAAATACCTTCTCCTGGTTGTATTTCCACCTTCAGTCTTGAATCATTTGATGGTAAACAAGCCAATGTATATTTTCCCCTTCATCTTTCAGTTGTCATCAAGATTTATTTCATCCTGATTGGTTAATAACACATTGATAGGTCATAAGATCCTTATTTTTCCTTGTGTGTTTTTCATGTGCTTCAACTGGAGACATCAGGAGGAAGATGGGTGGACTATTTTTTTTTCCTCATAGAATACCAAAATTTTTATTAAACTAT